TATTATTATTATTATTATTATTATTATTATTGTTATTACTTTTTTCACTTTTTTATTTTTCAAAGGATGGCAGGAGTGCATGATTTGAATGGGATTTGGACAGCAGTTTGTACTTTGAACAGTTAATTATTAATCTGCTTTTTTATTTTTCTCGTTTTTTTTTACTTTTTACGAATTTTTTGTATCTGAAAATTCATAAATTTTTTCATTTCCAAGTTTCCATATATTTTTTTTTAGTTTTTTATCCTTGCGCCCATTTTTGATCGCACTTTTTGATACTTCATTGTTGCCGACACCAGAATCTTATTCATCGTCGCAGTAGTGCACCTTCGCCTGTTTCACGTCGTCATCAGGTTTAAGATTGGTTTTTTTTTTAAGGAATTTAGAAATGATAGTTTACAGCATTGTAACATGATCATTTTGCCGGACTGTTATTTGGATTGGAATATTTTGCTGTTTGAGTATTTTAGCTGATCTTTCTATGGTTATCCAGTGAAGAGATGAGAAACAGTCTTTTGTTGACTACTTTTTAATGTATTTTCTTTTAAGGGCTTTATTGGGAAAGAGAGAAAAACCTTTCAAGGGAACGAAAGATTAAGGGTTTTTCATTATTTATGTATTTGAATTATATTTTTCGAAGTTTTTTTTAAAGGTTTTTTGTTGTTTTTAATATTTATTAGTGGTCCCTTCACGTTGTTTTTAAATCTTAAAATTATTCTTTTGCCATCAGTCTGCAGATTCTTCTGTGACGATATCGTGTTGCAATTGCGTTTTATAACGGAAAAAAGCTTTTAATCAAAAATATATCTGTGTATGGAAAAGGGAGAAGAGGGGGAAAAGTGATATTATTTTTTGGAGAAAGGAAGGGTAAAATTTGTGGGATGAAGATAAGGTTTTGCGGAAATATAGCTATTATTTTTTGGTCTGAAAGACTGTTGCGAATATAACTGGTAAAGGTACGTTTGTACGAGACGCTGTTCTTGAAATCTCTTTTGAGATATATTTATCTTTTACTTTTTGTTAAAGAAATTAAAGCTTTTTATCACTGTTTCTGGAATATGGGTTATGGGAAAAGAATTGAAAAAATGATGTAAGGAAAAAATTTCTTGCAAGCGTTTTTTTTTTGTAAATATAAGTTAATTTTAATTTATTTAGGTGTTCATTTCGATACAGTCGCTATTATTTTGCTGTGTACAGTCAAAAAATTTATTTTTTCACGTGTATAAACAGTTTTTTGACATCTGAGGGCGGGATCCTAGAATTTTTTTGGTTTTAATGGATTTTTCTGAAAAAAAAAAGAAGGAAAACTAAGGGCGATTATTATAGCAAAAGAATTTTGTCTTTTGAATTGCATTTTGTTCCTGTATTGGTTGATACTACTTTTTTGTTTTGAACGTTTTTAGCTGAATACACTGTTAGCACGAAATCTAAATTGAAATGAGTGGCGAAGAAACGTGAACTTAAAAATGGTTATTTCGATTTTTCTTATGGTGTCGACAGTTGGCGACAATGTTGCTAACCAGTAGGGTTGTTTCTCAAGGATTCGGGTTACCTTTGTAGAAGTTCTGTGTGCGGTTACTTTGCATTTTTAAAGTGTTGCCCTCATAGCTTTCTATAGCAGTCTTCGTCATTCGGGCGTTTTGCCTAGTCTTCATTTTCATGGCTCCTTCTGCTTACTTTCCGTGGACGAGGCATATTAAAGTAAGACCGAGCTGATAATCTGTATCAAAACATTTACTGCCTTTGGCTTCTCAATTTCTTTTTTTTCTTTTACAACGTCCAGCTATCCATTTCAAAAGTCAGGATGCCTTATTTTTATTCGCATTTTTTAAGTTAGAAAGTTATTGACTTTTATGAGAGGATACAGAATGATCTTCTGTGTAAAATTGTTTAAAAATAGATTAATCTTATTTAACTATTAATAATCTTAGACGGTGTATATTTGGTAATAAGTAAGCTGCTTTCAGGAGAAAGGCTGTTCCCTAGACAGCCTGGAACCAAACAAAGAGGGCTTGCTCGTTACTGATGCTAATGACAACATGCTTCACTACCAGAGTACTTTTGAAGCTTCATCACTCTCCTATATGGTTCTCGCGTAGTCTTTATCTTTATTTGCTAGGCTTTTTGCTCTATAACTTTCGCTATACTTACGGGCATTTGTTATAGAAATGTTAGTGGGAGAGATGTCTTAATAGTTTCTGAATGTTGAATGAGCAGTTGGTTTCATTGAAAGAATTTCTAGGAGATTGCGGAAACGCTACGAACGGATCTTACTCGGGGCCTATCTGCAAGTGAGGCTCTGAGACGTCAGAAGTTTAATGGATATAATGAATTTGAAATTGCTGACCGTGAGCCTCTTTGGCAGAAATATTTGGAACAGGTTTTTTTAAAATCTTTTATAAATATTAAATGGCCTGAAAAAATATTACCGTTCTAACACTTCAGCTTTGTATTCTTTATTTTTATGCTTTTTTTTTTTTTTTTTGATTTTTAGTTTAAAAGTCCTCTTATCTTGTTGTTGCTGGCAAGTGCTGCTGTGTCCTTGTTAATGAAGCAGTTAGATGATGCAGTTAGTATAACGGCTGCGATCGTTATTGTTGTTACTGTTGGATTTGTGCAAGAATATCGTTCAGAAAAAACTCTTGATCAACTTAATAAACTTGTCCCGCCGTCTTGCCATGCGTAAAATTTCTTTTTATTAAAATCTTTATTTGTACCATACAGGTGAATATTAAAAGATTTTGAGTTTTGTAAATTGTACTTTTTTTTTCCAGGGTAAGGGACGGCAAAGAGATGCAGTTTTTAGCCAGGGAGCTTGTGCCTGGAGATCTGGTGCTCTTGAGCGTAGGTGATAGAGTGCCAGCAGACTTACGTCTCACGGAGGTTTTTAACTTAATACATTTTTTGTTAACATTCTTGCTGAGCTGTTTCAGGCTTACCACTCAGTTTAACTTCCATTCCTTTTTTTGACTAGCGAATTTAGAAGATTTTATCTATAATTCTTATTCATATAGGCAGTCGATCTTCAAGTAGATGAGTCTTCATTTACTGGGGAGATGGAACCACGGCTAAAGCACGTAAAACCTTTGAAAAGTGATTTGGTTACGGAACATATAGATAACGTGGTTTACATGGGGACCTTGATCCGAAGTGGTCACGGAAAGGTCTTTTAGTTTATTTTTTTATTGAGTATTTTATTCAGTTCTGAGGATCTATAATATTAATTTTAGCAAGTATTTTAGCTCACGTATTCAGAATTAGTTGCAGTACTTTTAAAAAAGACTTATTTTATTTGCAGGGCTTAACTATCGGAACTGGAGCAAATACTCGGTTTGGGGAAGTTTTTAAAATGATGCAATCTGAAGAAGTGAGTAAAATTCTGGATTATTCAGTTTTGAAAGACTAACTTTTACTTTGAATTCCTCACCTCATTGGGCTTTGAAACTTTTAAGTAGACCACCTCCAATTTTTTATCTCATCTGATAATTACATCTGATTTAGTCTCCAAAAACGCCTCTTCAAAACAGTATGGATCATCTAGGGACACAGTTGTCATTCTATTCTTTTGGAGTTATCGGTATCATTTTTCTTATTGGACTAGTTCAAGACCGCGATATTTTGGAAATGTTTACTATTGGTGTAAGGTGCGTTTACTGTTTGTTTATATTTCACCGATATTGTTTTTGGTGTTTTGCACCCATCTGTTATCTTAATTAATTCTAAGATTTTCTGAGTTTATTGCAGTTTGGCTGTGGCTGCTATTCCCGAAGGTTTGCCTATAGTAGTTGCAGTAACTTTAGCAATAGGTGTAATACGTATGGCATCTAGGAGAGCCGTAGTAAAGAAGTTGCCAGCTGTGGAGACATTAGGATGTGTTACCGTTATATGTTCAGATAAGACGGGTACTTTGACTAAAAATGAAATGACTGCCGTGACGGTTGTGTCATCTGATGGTCTTGTTGCTGATGTACGTTTTTTTCTAAAACAGTTTCTATTTTTTCTTCTTGACCTACTTCTTGCGTTACTTTTTAGGTACTGGGAACTGGCTACAGTTTGGAAGGGGGGTTATGTTGCACTGGAGGTGAGCGGATAATCGGCAATTCACACCCGTCACTCAGTCGGGTTATTGAAATTGGTTGTGTCTGTAACAATGCTGCGCTTACGAATGGAACACTCATAGGTCAGCCCACTGAAGGTGCTCTTCTTGTGCTGGCAATGAAGGTTCTGTTTACAATTGTTATAATTTCCTTCTTCTATTACGGTATTACCAGCATTATTTTGTTCGACAAATATGTATTAACTTATGCTAATCCGTTAACATTTGGTCACTATAAATTTCAGGCACATATAGACGAACGACGATCATTTTATCGACGTACTGAAGAAATTCCGTTCACATCGGATTCTAAATTTATGGCTGTGCAATGCGAGTTTAAAGATGCGGTTAGCTGCACTTTTCAACAAATTTAAATCGCTTCTTTTGTAGATTTGCTACCATTTTTTCTGGCACTTAACAGGCTTGTAATGTTTATTGTATGAAAATTTTATCTTGAGTTTTACCTCTAGTTAAACAGGAGTAGGGTCTTAGTCGTTGAAAATGATTAGATTTCAGTGTGGAGTATCGAGCGAAATGTTCTTGAAGGGTGCGCTAGACCGAGTGTTAGAAAAGTGTGTTGGCTACTTAGAAAATGGTAAGGACGTTGCTTTGCTTGACGAGGCATCGAAGGAAAAGTTTATAGAAACTGCTCGCAAACTGGGCAGTACTGGACTGAGAGGTTAGTTTTTTTTTAATGAAACCTTTATCAAAAATATTAGTCTAATTTCAGTAATAGCACTTGCCTGTGGACCTAATGAACAAGAGCTGTATTTCGCCGGATTGGTTGGTATTTTTGATCCCCCAAGACAAGGTGTTACTGAAAGCATCGAGGTGGTACAGTCGGCGGGGGTTAAAGTTAAAATGGTCACCGGTGATTCTTACGAGACGGCTTGTAGCATTGGTATGCCTCTTAATTTTTGCAATATTTCTGTTCACTTTTTTTTTGAAGTAAGTTTTTTTTATTTGAAAAGAATGAAAAGATTATATTTTTATGCGGAATTTCATCTGCTTAGGACCTTTTTAGGGGCCCGGCTGCAATTATTCAACACTAGCACAAACTGTCTCTCTGGTCCCCAAATTGACCAAATGACCGACGTTGAACTTGAAAGTGTCATTAGAGAAGTTTCAATCTTTTATCGTTCCTCTCCGAAACACAAACTTCGCATTGTAAAAGTATTTTTTACTTTCTGGTGTTTAATTATTAATTTTTTCAAAAAGGGGCATTTAACTTATTTGCATAATGTAATATAGGCTTTGCAAAATTTGGGCGAAGTAGTGGCTATGACTGGAGATGGCGTTAACGATGCAGTAGCTTTAAAAAAGGCAGATATTGGGATAGCTATGGGGAAAAGCGGGACAGACGTGTGTAAGGCAGGTTATTTCCTCCTCAACTTTGAATTCCCGTTTAATTCTCCGTGCTGTAGTATGATTTTTTGATATAAACAGTTAGCGTTAATAATTTAAAATTTTTTCTCTAGGAAGCTGCGGATATGGTGTTGTTAGATGACGATTTTTATACCATTCGTTCTGCAATTGAAGAGGGCAAGGGAATATATCATAACATTACAAATTTTGTCCGATTTCAGCTGAGCACGTAAGAGACGTTCTATTTGTAGTGAAGTTTTTCTACCACATAGAAGACTCATTTAGTCGTCAAGTTTGTTTCATTTGTTTCTTTTAACACACAGCACCGTAGGAGTCACCTGTGTGGTGAAAAACCTTGCAGCATTTTTTTGAAAGCTACTTTTCAGTAGCGTTGCTGCACTATCGCTTATCGCTATTTCTACATTGTTCCACTTTGAAAATCCGTTAAATGCTATGCAGATCCTGTGGATCAACATTATTATGGATGGGCCTCCAGCGCAGAGTCTTGGAGTGGAGCCAGTTGACAAAGTCAGTGTTTTGAAAACCTAAAATTTTTTTGAAAGGTGGTAGCTTTTTAGCGCCTTGATAGGGAGCTTCATTTTTATGCTACGGCTTTCTAATTTTGGTGGTTTTTTTGTAGGATATCATTCGACAGCCACCACGAAATGTTCAGCAGCCAATGATTACTCATAGCTTAATCAAAAATGTTTTAATCTCAGCTTCAATTATCATTACCGGAACTCTGTCGGTTTTTTACATGGAAGTAGGTTTTGTTGAACCTTTTCTGATAGGTTTAATATATTTGTTTACTGAATATATCGAGCATTTTCCAGATGTCGGCGGATAACAAAATAACCCCTCGAGATACTACGATGACATTTACTTGTTTTGTTTTATTTGACATGTGGAATGCCTTGGCTTGTCGATCTAGTAGGAAAATGATATGGGAAATCGGTCTCTTCCGGTAGGACTTTATGTGGATTGTAATCTGCAGGTAGTATTATTAAAGTTCCTTTAATTTGTGAAGTATTCCAGAGTCATTGTAGGAATCGTATGTTTTGCCTTGCTGTTTCCGGATCGTTAATTTGCCAGCTTGCGGTAATTTACTTACCTCCACTACAGCATATTTTTCAAACTGAGGCACTGAGCTTATATGGTAAGTATAATAATTTA